TTGAGGTTATAAAATAATATTTTATTTTATGCAAACGTTCTTAGACATTTATGCAACTAGAAAAAGTGTAACAAAGACGTACTTTAATTTAAATGGCCTCTTGTTATGATATTATTGGTTAATTTCTGATTTACTTTTTGTTACACATAGCTCATAATGGCGGTAATTCTAATTTGTCTTAATGTAGCAAGAATATAGAAGATTTTGAATTCGTAAGTTTAGTGAAGAAAGAGTTGAGTCAATTTATACTTTACATAGTATTAGTTTAGAAACATTCGATTTAACTTACACTTAAAATTCACTTGATGAAGCATTACTTAAGTGCATGTGGTATCAAGTAGATCTTTAGTTTTATTTAGTTAAAACTAGATAGTTTTCATTCTGTCTTAGTCTTGCTAAATTATTGCTGCTGCTATACATTAGAGAACAATTCATTCAAATCAAATCAAATCAAATTTCTTTATTTGCGTAATTCCAGGTGCATAAGTGGTTTTACATAGATTTGGTAGGTTTCACTGAAATTTGCTAACTTATTTATTTCTTAATTACATGATTTTTCCTTCGACTTTCTCCGTGTGGAAGTCAAAAATGGTTCTAATAGGACTAATTGGTTTTTACGTTTCTGGTTTTGTTATAACATATAGGGGAAAGTTCGGTATATTGTACTGGCGGGTAAATTGCACCACCCTCATATTTCGTAAAGTATTCCTTGAACTCTGTAATTGCAACACAACAATTCATTGAATATCAGCCATATAATTTTTGCCGTGTTAATGAACACACGACGTATTTTATTGTGAAAAGTTTTTATTTGTTTTTATGGAACTTTTAACAATTTGCAATTGTGTTAAATTTAATCACACAGTGTTTCTAATTTATTAAATGAGAAGATTGAGAAGCGTAAAGTTCCACACTTTACGCTTCTCAATCTTTTCATTTAATAAATTATTAGAAACATTTTTTGGTAGTTATTATTATGTTAAGATTTTTTAAAAGTACCTACTGTCACCTAGTTAGTTAAATTTTATAATATCATGTTGTACTCAACTTTACCATACAATTTCAAAAATATTTTAGACAATATTTTAGTAAATCATATTTTGAGTTGAGAGATAATAGCATAATTTAGTTCGCGAGCGACCGCACGCATTTTGTATCAAAAATTAATACAATAAGCTGCGCACGCAGGTGCCCGCGGCAGGCGTGCATTACCTTGAATTAATAGGCGTGATCCTGTTTTATCGAAATCGTCCCGTTAAGTGTATTTTTTCTCAAAATGTAATAGTTCTAGTAAAAAAGTAACTAACTTAATCTTCAGAAAACTATTTCTAGGACAATGGTCTTTAAAAAGCCCTAAGTAAATCTACGAATACTTTATTTACTTTGCAACACTTAAATAATACTTCATCCTATACTATTTAGTATTAAGTGAACATACAAAAAATCTTAATTTAGTAAAATAAGTTTTTTTTTACCTTAAGCTAAGAATAACTTAAGACCAAATTATCTAAAGAATACTTAACTTGGTTTTGGGTATTCTTAATTTGCTTAAGTACCGCTCGATGAAGAATATAAAGTCTTAAAGAAAAAAATCTCTATTCTAAGTTTATTTGGTTTTAGCTTAAGTGTAAATTTAGATAGAGTTAAGACAAGTAAGATTTTGCCCTTAATACCAATTGCTACTTGGGTACCACGGTTTCAGGACAAAATTATTGGGATGAAGTGGAAGAAGTGTCTGTATTCTTATCAGCCTTTTATTACAGAAAATACTATTTAATTTATAAGATAGATACACAATATTTAATGAGGACTGATATAATATAAGTATGGTCTACTTTCAAAAATATTTTTTTATCTGCAAATTGATTTTATGTAGTGTAATGCTTCTCACGTTAATGGACCTTCTCAAAAAGCAGGAAAATATCATTCTGATTATTATTAGCTTGTAATCTTTTCGAGAAACGTGTATCTTTGTAATCATAATCGCAAAAACTCGTAATTAATTACATAACAAACCTCAATGTCCTCCGTCAATCACCGCACATGACAGATTGCCAGAAAAAAAGTGACAATTTAAAAATGGCCGCCGCGGTCTTGCCGCCTTTTTTATGGGAAACGGAAGTGCCGGGCTAAATGGCGCGAACAGTTACAGCGTCTTTTTAATTTTCTGACGGAAACACGACTTGAATGATATCTAATTTGTCGCGAATATTTTGTTTGTGACGATATATGATATTGTTACGGTTTCTAGATGCTAGTGTCATTTGGATTTTTATGTCCTAGGAAAAGAAATAGGTACTATCTCTTAGGTCATTGTCTCCACTGCAGGAGCACGACTGCCGCTAAATTACCAACAAATGGAGGATTTGGTCTACACTCACTGGTCAGATGGGTTGGGGAGGCAAAGAAATAGGTATATTCTGATTAATTTCCAAAAAGGTAGAGCAGGAACTTTTAGAAGTGTGACTTTGTACTAAATTCTTACAAGTGTGGTTTGTTTTAACCCTTAGTTTTACATTGCATACGTCATTATATTATTACATACAAATAGATACCTAGGTACAAAAGAGAGCCCATCAAGGTACTACATATTATTATGATACTGAAGCATCTAATCTTGTTGTGAGAGAAGTAATTTTGAAATTAGAACCAGTGGATTTATTATCCCGAAGTGGTGGTGAGACAAGCTAGATATTGGTGTGTATGAATGCCCTGAAAAGGGCCTACATACAAATTAAGAATTTGAATTAAAATACAGTGTGAGTCACGTTAAAGTGCACATATGAAAATAGATGAAACTAGACCTATTTTTATCGACAAAAAAGAGGTCAAAAAATTTTTGAGATTTTTTTTTTAATTTTTTATAGAATTTTTTTTCTTCCAATTACTTATTGTAAAGAAAACGTAATAAGTTTTAAACTAAGAGGTATATTCTGATAAAATAAAAACAGTAATAATGCTAAATAACAGGCGATACTAAAAAAATACATAAAATACACAAAAAAGGCCAACAAATAAAAAAAAATGATACTTTTTGAAAAAAAACTGCTTTTTTTTCAAAAGTATCATTCGTGTTTTTTTGGTTATTTGATAAATTTATCCAAAAAATGCCCCTATAACCGGTGGTTTTTATTACTTTGTATTATTCTCTATCGTATTACTTTCGTAAAACCAAAAATCGCATGTCTCTATCCCTATCACAACGTTTGCAATGATCGTTTGAACTAAGCCTCTCGGGGCGCGCCATTCAACGCTTCGTTAACAACGAAACTGAAAATGGCTCTAGATTTGTAATTTTGATAAAGACAAGTTAGATTTCAAATAGAAAAGATTAAATAAAGACAAAAAATTTCGAAGTAAAATAAGCATTTTAGTTAAAATTAAAATTGTCTCTACCTGTAGCGGAGAATAATGTTGTGGCAGGCCTTTGTTCAAACGATCATAGCAAATGTTGTGATAGGGATAGAGACATGTGATTTTTGGTTTTACAAAGGTAATACGATAGAGAATAATAAAAAGTTTTATTTTATTTTATTTTATTTAAAAAACCACCGGTTATAGGGGCATTTTTTGGAGAAATTTATCAAATAACCAATTTTTTTTCAAAAAGTATCATTTTTTATTATTTGTTGGCCTTTTTTGTGTATTTTATGTATTTTTTTAGTATTGCCTGTTATTTAGCATTATTACTGTTTTTATTTTATCAGGATATACCGCTTAGTTTAAAAGTTATTGCGTTTTCTTTACAATAAGTAATTGGAAGAAAAAAAAATCTATAAAAAAATAAAAAAAATCTCAAAAATTTTTTGACCTCTTTTTTGTCAATAAAAATAGGTCTAGTTTCATCTATTTTCATATGTACACTTTAACGTGACTCACACTGTAATACTTATAGTCGAATGTGCTATCGACTGTGGGATACCTTTTGAGTAATTTAGAATGTACCTACCTAATCGAATTATTCTTTACTTTTAATCTGGTAAAGTACCTATTTTCTGGTATATAACTTCATCGTGACCCGCCACAAACTATTTAATTTTGAAACGTGAAACGTGAAATTCCTACCAGTTTAAAATACATACCGGGTGGCAACCACAAAATATTTATAACATTATTATAACCACTGCGACACCTGCTCTCATAAAACATATATTGCGTCACATACTTCGTGGAGTACATTAAACATAGATATCAAGGAATATGTATATTTATATTGCTCTAACTGAGCTGTCAAAAGTTTTGAGAAATATAATTATATTCATAATTTACTCTAAATAAAAATATACAGGAATATAGAAAATGTATTTTTAAACCGCAAAATGGTTTCAGTATACAGCTAAAACTAGCTCAAATAATGATAGCAGCAAAAGCTTTACGAAAGTTCACGATTAAAACAAATTAAAACCACGGACGATACAAAAAGTAACAAATGAAAAGGTCGGTTATAAAATCATGCAAAGCGCTGTGCACTGGCAAAATAACGTGAACGGAATAAGAACAATAAATTAAGAAATTTAGAATTTTTCAATTTAGAATTTCGACCAAGACAATCTTGTTCCCTGTGAGAAAAACCTGAAAATTCCGAAAGAAATATTCGCTGCTACAATATCAAGCAGCTTTCAGCGAACGACGACCAAACTGCCATCTAGTGAGTGGCGGACTCAACTATTAACCCTGTATTCATTGAGTCCGCTTTCAGTGAAGATGTTGCTTTTTATAGCACCGAGTATACTAGTTTCATAAGAAACTAAGAGATGGCGCTGTTCACAAAAAAATTATCGTGTTAGTAGCACAGCATTTTTAATATCATTTTGTAATTACAATAATTAGGTGCGCAATAAGAATGACGTCACAATAAACGAAGATAGAAAACTGGGCAACATGACAATGGCAAAATCAATCAATTGGCATGAGGATTGGACAAAGATCTGGCTAGGAAACATACTCGGAAAATACACAAAATGTAATGGTTTCATAGGGCCTGGGTCACACAGACATACCCATTATGTGTAGCCTTATATCACTTGGGCGGTAGAACGGTGGAAAAAAGTCTGGAAACGGATAAGTTAGTTTTACAGACAATAACTTACTCATAATTCATAGCAAGTTTTGATATTACACCTAGCGAATTTCCCTAGTAAAACTGAAAATTTGCCCACTCAACTGGTCGAAGTGCTTTTCTTACACAATTGCACCATTTTATGCGACATGATGCATTTTTGTTACGGCGGTGAAACGCATCCCAGCAGTTTCTAGGCACATTTTAATTGAAAGAAGAGCAATGATGCACCCTGAGAGACTCAGTAGAGTCACAACAACGCATCATGTTGCCGTAGCCTTCAATAAGTATTCTGAAAGTTTCAGAATTTGTTTTTATAAATCTGAGTAAGGCTGAGTTGCAACACTTAACTTTAACCGTAACTACAACGATAGCCGGTGTTTTTATATGGAGTTTGACAGATTTATATTTAAAGTAGGTAAGATGGTGCAACCCAGTATAACGTCGTTGACGAGTGAAAACCTAGTAAGTCGTTTTTACCAAAAACACTTTTTAATGTTACAGAACAAAATAAAAACTTTTAAACGCACATTTTGAGCTCACCTATATTCGAATGGGATTATTATATTTATTGCGTTCAATGCAAACCTCATAAAAACATTTATGGGACAGTTTTTTGTCTCTCCTGAAATGTTGTTTTCGGTACTCCCGAGGTTTTCACTCTTCAACGACGATAAGTATGTTAAAAGAATAAAATGTAGCTAAAAAGATATATACCTTCTAGAAACTGTCTGGTAGGAAGTCTTAAGGAGACCTTGAGGGAGGAGGCGTAAGTAGAGTCGATGTACCACCGCGGGTCGCGCTGGTCACCCAGCCTACTGTCACTGCCTCTGAAAGGAGCAAAACAATCAATTAATACTGGATTCGTTTAAATACACATTTGTATCACAATACATGTATGGTACAATGTGCTGTCCCAATGCTATGCTGAAGAAAACAACTGCTGATAGCACGTGGTTGCTTTCTGCAGCTCGTTTCGGATTAATTAATTTATTACTATGAGACAAAAGTAGCTCTAACCGAATCAAAACTTTTGCGATTTAGGTATTTATTTATGTAAAAACTTAATTGCACACACAACACACAAAAGAATAAGTGGTACAAAAAGACGAACTTAATGCCATGTGGTAGGTATTCTGTATCAGATGACCTTGGGCAAAACAGAGAATTTATGTCCATAACCTAAAACATTATGCCTGTGAGCTTTGGCACTGAAGGAGTGCTGAAAACTGGACTAATATGATAACATGGTCATCTAGCTACCAAGGCAGACAATATGAGAGATTTGCAGGCATGCAATAAGTATTCCATGTTTGTTTTGGTATTTTTATTCATTAAACAATTATTACCAACGGGATAATAATAGTCCCATTCAGATATGGGAAGTTGTTTCAAGTTATTATAATTTGTTTCGTCGTATAATAAAGAAAAGAATAAAAGTTCGCGAAGCAAAAAGTTTTGATTGAAACACGTTGATCGTCGGCCTTCACGACACAATTAGTTCAACCGGATTACTAATGTTTGGCCAAAAAACGTTTCCCAAATTATCACATGGCAAACAACGTTTCGCAAATTTTCATTTGGCAAATTCTCATTTGGCAAAACAACTTATTGCAAACTTTTAATTCGCAAATGTCTTTTTTGGCATATTATTGTTTAGCAAATTATTGTTTGGCAAAGTATGTTTTGCCAAATGTTTCATTTGGCAAAAATATTTCACGATAAACTATTAACAAAATAATTTGATTGGTGCATAGAATGGAATACAAATTAGCTTGTGGTTATTATTTTGTTTAGTGGGTAGTTAATATAAAATTTGTTCTAAATTTATTTTCATATTTCATTATTTTTATCGAAACTAAATGATTAATTAACAATAGAGGTGATTCTAGCGCTCGGCGGCCGCTGCCGCGGCACGCTTCGCTCGCCTTCGCGCGTTAAGGGTCACTGTTCTAACCTAACCTAACCTACTATTTTCTGCAAAACCTACTTTCGCATCCATACTATTTTCTGCAATCTCTTTGTTTTACATAAAATTCTTGTGAAAACCATGATCATTTGCCTTGTGCTTTGATTTGTGGGTAACGGTGGGTAAGCATGTGAAGTTTCAATTTGACCAAATAAATTATTTGGGATATAATATTTGGCAAAATAAAACATTTGCTATATAAACTTTTGCCAAGTAAAATTTGACCAAATGATAATTTGACCATTTGAAATAGTTGCGAAAAGTACATTTGCTAAAAGTTCATTTGGGAAATGAAACTTTGGCGATAAGTTGTTTGCGAAGTGAAATTTGGCGAAAAGTAATTTGGCCAAACGGAAGGATACCAGTTCAACCACTAACCGCTAACCCATAATAGTGACTGAGGATGTCTGCTACTATCTTCTAACTATAGTAGGTATACCACCTGTCTTTTTTAACCGACTACAACAAAAAGAGGAGGTTCTCAATTCGGTTGCTGTCATGTGAATTGCAACAATAGCTTAATAGGAGCTACCCTCTAGAGTAGGTACTATTTCCCTAAGTATTGGCCCACATTATTATGTATTTGGAAACTGTAATTTACTAACATTTATTTGTTGTTCGATAAAGAATGGTATTCTTGTATTATTAGGTAATTTGAGAACTTAGTATTTTAAACCCTTATTATTATGAGTGTGTATCTTAAAATTTTAAATACGTTATATATTTCATGAAATATGCATTTTATGTTGGTATAATAAATAAACAAATTAACCGCGTAAAGAAAAACTAAATATTTTGTTATTTTTTTGATTAAAACATTAAAATAAAAAATATTTTTAAATAAACAAAAGTAGTTTGAATATAGAAAAAAAACATGTTAAACAGTCTCTCAAATATATCATGTTATAAGTTTCTTAAATTCGCTAGAACTCTACAAAGAGAGGTTATAACAAACCAAAACATTCGCACGTCTAACTTTTCACAACATTTTGCAAAAGCAAACATACAAGCAAAAGGCGAAAAATAATTACCCCGAATCCATTTTGAGGACCATCTAAGGGAGCACGTATAATCTATGTATAAAATAAAATTCGCTAGCGATATTTAAAATAAAAACTACATGATTCCTTCGTACATATGTCAAACTAAACTATTTTTAACGCCCAAGTTCACGTTGCTCGGCGCAAACGTAAATATCTCAGCGTGCGATTATGTCTGCGCGCGCGTCGATTTCAGCAACTTCATAGAGCTTACGGCTTTTCAGGACGTCTGTGTTCGTTTGTAAAAAGTTCCGAAGCTTTGAACCAGATGGCGCTGTAGAGTTACCGAGAACGTAGTTCTTCTATTAGGCGCTAGATGGCGTGTTTTTGATTGAGTATAGATTGCTTAAAATGTTTTTCCACTCGCCGCTAGATTGCGCTCTCTACTTCACATTTTTGTAAGTACTAAAGTAGGTAATAAATTATTAAATTAAGAAAAAATAGATTTTTCCAAGAATTTACACCTAGATTTAGTTATAATTGCTATTTAATAAAAAGGCATTCTTTTTCTGTTGATTTTCACAATCGATCGATCGATTTCATTGAAAAAGAATTTTACTAAAAACACCAATTTATAAATTAACTGAAATTTACGAGCAACTTTTTGAATCCATTTAGGTATTTTGCAAGGTACATTTATCTAAATTGATGTGGTCGTAAAATCCAAAGCAAATATTTCTGCTGAAATAGCAACGTTAATGTTCTAAAAATCGCGTACACTGTTTGGTTACAAAATAACGTAAACACGTCTGATTTTAATACATTGTTTACTGAGCAATATATCTAAGAGAAGTCGTTACTGATAGTCCAGGGGCCTAGCAAGTTAGGGCTCTTTCTCACGGAGACATCCTGTTTCATGTAGGATCCCAGTTAGTAGTAGGTATACGTATCCTTTACACGAACATCCCGAATGGAATGTCCAATTTCAAACATACCAATACCAATTTGAGAGTCTAATTAAAGGATCGAGACAGATGGCAAGCTCGCGAGAAACTCAAAATGAAAGATATTCAGCTGCAAACGCCTTTACCTTAGTTTTTGATGAAGATGATGATGATGATTAAATAAGTACTCAACATCCTGAAAGGAAACCTACTTTTATGATTGAGAAGTTAATCATATACGTAAAAATAATAACTTTGTCAAACCTTTACGTACTTTAATCATGCAATTTTGGGTTTAATTTACCCACGCTCCTTGAACTTTTAAGCCTCGTTAAATCTTTACGAAAGTATTTAGTTTAATTTTTTTTTTAATGGGACAACCAACAACACATTCCACAAAAAAAATATTTAAAACGTATTTTAATCTGGTCCCTTGCCCCTAGCCTAAAAAGCGGTATAAAAATATGCGTGCGCGCCGACAGCGGCTGTTATTACAACGCAGCTGTTTCACGACATGCTTGCATTCTAGATCTAAAGTACAGTCAGCTGCATTATAGTTCAATTTCCTTCTCTCGTTTCTAGGAATATCTTAAACTCCTGCGTTTGAAGCTTGAGTAAGAGACAACTAAGTCACAACTAAAAGTTCCTTAGCTCTCAAAAGAGTATTTTAGTAGGAAGCAATTGGGTTTTCATTGGGATTTCCTTTCATAAAAATATCTATAATGAAGTCAGCAAATCAGCTTGAAAAGCAAATGAAAAAACAATCTTTTAGGTTTCCTTCCAGTTCCAGAAATTGATGCTTCGATGGAGCAAAGTCTTAGCCGACATGATTAAACGCCAAATTTTTGTACTTAGCTTTCTGTTCATCTTTTAATAACTATGAACTTTTCATTGTATAAATTAATCCTTAAGTAGAAAGATGAGGGCACCTAAGCTGGAAATCTTAATTCAGAAACCTTAATCTTCCACGCTGACTGTACTTACTTGCGTTATGAATTGAGCTTTTGATCCAGATGCACATTTTATTAGGTCAGCGTTTTAGGTTCACTTACTCTTAATATCTTTGAATTAGCACACTGTTAATAGCGTCCGCCAGTTTGTTTTCCAAGGATCAATCGGGATAAAATTAGCCATTAGGATGGCACAACAATGTAAACTGTGTCTTTATACTTTATGACACATTATTGAGTAGTCTTCATACACCTACAGTGGCATTATGATAAGAATGATATTTAAAAAACGTGTAAAGTTCGTTCATTTCAGCCGAAAGACGTCCACTGCTGGACAAAGGCCTCCCCCAAGGATTTCCACAAAGAGCGATCCTGCGCCGCTCGCATCCAGGCACCTCCCGCGACCCTCACCAGATCGTCGGTCCACCTGTCCACCTAGTGGGAGGCCTGCCCACGCTACGTCTTCCGGCTCGTGGTCGCCACTCAGAACTTTCCTGCCCCAGCGGCCTTGATTTTAGCGATTCTGCGGGCTACGTCAGTCACTCTGGTTCTCCTACGGATCTCCTCATTTCTGGTAGAGTATAGCTAAATAATTCATTTAGAACCTGAGATAATTACCTATTTTCATTTTAGGTTGAGATTCTTTATAAAATAACAATAAAAAGGCAAAGATGCCACATGGTATTCTTTTAAAGGAAGTTCGGTAGCTAAAATGAAGATGATGATTGTTTTGAAACTAAAATGTATCCTACCAAACACATTTTCATGTATTTTGTTACCAGGAAGACACCATATGGCAAAAGTCATCAGATCATGTAGAGCCAAGCTTCTAACTCTTTAAGCCCTAACTTTGCAAACTTTACACCCTCTTGACATTTCTTGGCCGTTTCGTTATTACAAAAACTATTAGAAAATTAGAAAAGTAATATACTCGTACTTGACACTACACTGCCGTAATCTCTAAATTAATTTTAACCAAGTTAAAAA